GAATTGCAGGCACACACCACCATGACCACTCTCTCTCAGCATGCCCTGGGGGTGGGGCCGGCATGGCATGCTGAGGATTGAACTAGGGTCCCTGCATTTGCCTAAGCAGGTGCTTTAATTCACTGAGCTATTTGGCTGGCCCTTGCTTTTTCTTTTTTGATACTAGGAGTCAAACTCATGACCTCTCACTTGCTAGGCAGGCTATCTGCAGCTACATTCATGGTCTACATTTTTCTTTTCTTTTTGACAATACAGAATCACCACAAAAGTGTATGTTCTTCAAATTTATATTTTTGTATATTGCATTTAAAAATATGATAGGATGAAAATAAGAGAATGAATCATATCTGTTCTTTGAAATAAATTCTTGCTGGTAACATTGAGAAAGATGATAACTTGTGGGTACCTCCACAAGATTAAAATAAGAAAAGACAAAGTCAGCTTCTAGAAACAAGGTGGCTAGCAGATTGGCTTCATACCACCTTCCAGAACCACAAAGACACTGGCCAGCCTGCACTTCGATCCTCATATGCTCATGGGTTTTTCTGCAGTACCCATTTTTTTCACCAAAAACCTCTCTGAATCCTTAAAGAGCTGGCTGCGGGTGAAGCAAAGGCTAAATTCTTTTAGGTAAATATTTCCAGGTACTTTTCTTTCCATTTCCAGTTCTATCATTGGGCTTGGGGTTTATTACTTTGGATCTTGGCTGATGTAGTATTATCTGATTTCCCTGCCTTAAGGTTTCTGTTGTTAGAGTGACAGCCAGTTCTGAGAGAGGGTCTGAGACAAACTGCCCCAAGCCTAGTTCCTCTGTCTTTCTGTCTCGTTCCTCTCTGCACTTGCATTGGGTTGCTCACCTTTCCCAAGGCAGGGTGTGGATCCCGCTGAATCTGAGCACTGGCTTACATTATACCCATACATAGCCCGAAGTGTCCTTTTCTTCCTATGTCCATGCAATGCTTCCTTCATTGAGGGGACTCAGCCCACAACTCTACTGCCACCATCACACAGTGACCAGCCCTCCTGCTGAGCAAAGAAAGATTCACTGGAATGATTCTTGCAGTATTTGTTTTTAATAGGCCAGTGTCATTAGTAGTTATCCACTTATTCCCTGTCTTTCTGTAGTTCCTGCAGATAGGAACATCTTTAACATTTCTCTGTATTGTAATCACCCACTGTGGAATATGCATAGGTCAAAAATGAATGAGGTTGATTATAGTAAGATCTTCTTTGCATATACATTTTGTTATTAGTATCAGCAATAAAATGCTGCTAAGATAAATTGGTAAATCATTAAATCAGGAAATATGGTTTATTTATAAGTAAAGAAGATTATTCTTCCAAGAGTTATGAACAGTTATTGATTTCACTAACATTTTATGGAAGAAGAAATTCATTCTGAAATGTCTTTGTTTCAAACAAGATAAAGGGGGCCAGATGGACTTGACCTAAGTAGTTAGCTCTATATTTTTTGATGATTCTGATGAGAATTTCCTTCCCATTACTTCATAAAGTGGGATGGTTGATGATGTCGCCTCTGGTGTTTGGTTAGTGTTAGCTAGACACAGAGGTGCGAACTCAAGTATTTTAGGAGAGACTTTTCCTCATTGGAGTCGTCCAGGCAAAGTTTATGGTTTCAACTCAGGACTGAAGTTCTCCCGCATGTCCGGAGGAGGGCTCCCTGGGTCAAGCTTGAGAGCATTTGCAGCGATTTCATGAGAAGAGTTGATGTATTGTTTCTAACCATATCTATGAGATGAATAAAGAAAGTAAAAAATTTTCTAGGGTTATAAACGCACCATGGAATGAATCCAATTTACAGACTTATCTCTGGCTTAGGACCAATGACAGGAGAATCTTCTTTCTATTTTTATTGAAACACTTTTTTTCTCTGTGTAAAAAAAATGAGAACTTTATTGAAAACTTTAAAATATTATGTAGGATTATGACATCTTTAAAGACCTACTACTATTGTTTGCCTACTTCATTGTAGGACTTTTGCACATAAAGAGATGTGTCTTTGTAATTGTGTATATTGTAGCTGGCTTTTTCAATAAATGTTATAAGCAGTTTCATGTAACATATTCAGTTTTTACATATGTAATAGAAAGTTCTTGGAAATAAGATATAGATGTTTAAAAAGGCTTTTGAAATTTATCACTGAGTTTTTGGAAATTTTATTCTACTTTATTTTAACATTAGGGATTGAACCCAGCTCTATACTGAGCTACATTCCCCCACCCACTTTTTACTTTATTGTTTTGAGGCGGGATCTTGCTAAATTGCTCAGCTGCCTAGGTTAGGCTCATACTTGCAATCTCCCAGCCTCTTCTTCCCAGAATACAGACGCATGATACCACACCTACTGACAGAAAAATGTAAAATATTTCTGACTAAATTGCCACTAGCTATGACTGTAGCATTGTTTCAAGTGGTGTATTTTATCTTGTCCAATGGAGAAACCACTTTTCTGATCTAATTTTTAAACATTGTGGTGCTAGGTACTTAGAAAGTCAGAAAGAGACAGATTCTCAATCAGGTTGAAGAATGCCATATAGTCTGTGTTTTGTTGTTGGTGGTAGTTTAATAAGTGAGCGGTTTTCAGTGTTTTTACAGAGCTGTACAGTTGTCACCATGATTTTTTTTTTTTTAGAATACTCTTATCACACCAGAAAGAAACTTTGAACCCTTGAGCTGTTCTTCATCATTTCTGGCTATTGGAAAACACGAATCTCTGTCTCTGTGAATTTGCTTCTGAACATTTTGTGTACATGGATTCTTATAATACATAGTTTACAATTGGCTTCTTTCACTTAGAATAACGTTTTCAAGGTTCATCTGTGCTGCAACGTGCATCAGTGCTCCATTCCTCTTTAGTTTTGAGTAATATTTCGTTGTGTGGATATAGGTTTTTTTAATCTGTTCTTCAGTTAATGGACATTGGAGCTGTTTTCACTTTGTTTATTAAGAATAATCCCAATACAAACATTTGTATGCAAGTTTTTGAGAGGACCTATTTTCAGTTCTCTTGAGCGCACACCGAGAAGTAGAAATGTTGGACATGGAACTCAGTGCATAACCTTTTGAGAAACTTCTCCACTGATCCTAAAGAGTTGCTCCTCGTCTATTCATCAGTAGTGTAGGA